CGTGACCGATGTTGGCCACTCTGGAAGCTCTGAATTTTGACATTGAACGATAAAAATGAAAACAAAATTAAAGTCCAAAATTAAATGATTCTATTTTGCGACAGACAATCGATCCGCAAGATCTCACAGTGAACGGAAAAACCTATTAAATCGCTGTGAATACAGTGACATTCAAATATATAACATGACCCTCAAACCAGCGAATTCAACGCATCGTTAAAATTCTAACATCCAAGTCATACTATATAACATTGCAACTGTTAAAATGTACGGCCTGACACGGTGGCCGATAGTTATTGCTCCCTCGACGACGTATTCAACTAGGACACAAACCCGTCGGTGAGGGAACAATAACTATTGCCCACCATGTCAGGCAATAAATGAGCAATGCTCCGATTGCTTTAAACTACAATAAGGCATACAACCGGGATGTAATTTTCGGAAAGCCCCACCTGTGGTGACACATTGGGAATTAAAGGTGTAATTAATTTTACTGGCCATAAATGTACGAGCATGTGTAATTATGCTACATAGTCGAAGCGTCGTTCAGAATTTAATAATATTTGTTTTTTGTATTTTAATATATTTTTATTGGGTACTCATAAAAATTTACATATCTGTGAATAAAGAGATTATAACTCAAAGTTTTTCAAAATGACATTTCTCAAAGCTTCAGAGGAAGAATGGTTTATTGCTCAAACCCAGAACCTTTATGTTTGCTTTTGGTTCACATGGACGGATTTTTTCACTAAGATCACTATATTCACTACTTGTCCATCTCATTCAATTCTAGTTCATACCATTTGCCCCTTTATTCCATATATGGTATTAAAGGGGACCACTTTTTTAAGTGTTGTATCATTTTATTGTTGTGGTTTGCTATCCAATTTTCACACTGGTAGACTCTTTTCATGTACGTTAGAATACCCTTGAAGTTGGGTTTTATATCATTCATTTTACAGTGGTAAATATGTTTCCTAACTAACAGGCTAATAAAATTTATTGTCAACGATTCGCCTGGATCTGATATTATTAAGCACATTCTGCTTGGTGGTAAATTTTGTTTTAATATCTTTCCCCAACTAAAAAGTAGATCTCTCCAAAGTGCAACAACATATTCACATTCATAGAAGATATGTTCCAGAGTTTCTGGATTCTCCTGACAAAATGGGCACATCTGTGTGGAAACTTTTCTGGGTTTATTTTATGAAGTTTGTCATTTGTATATAGAATGTTATGTAAAAGTTTAAACTGAAATTCACGTGTTTTGCTGTCGATACTCATTTTTATCATTAATTTGTACATTTTACTCCATTCTATTAGGCCAAGTTTCAGCATCTATTAATTCTTTTTTTATATAGGGTTTTGAGATCGCATCAAGCGGTGTTGGAATTCCAGACACCGATAAGCTT